ATGTATTTTGACTTAAAATGTAGAGAAGGAAATACATAGGTAACGACACTAAATGTTTTTCGTTAAACGAAAATCTTTTGATTTTTTAGTACTTATTAAATTTTTTGAACACATTAATTTTATACTTCGTATTTTTGAAGATTTAAAATTCTATGATTAAGCTATAATCTAATTTTTTGAATATATGAATCTCAGAATCAGGGCCCCCACATAAATTCTAGGCCTTTGTATTAAATGTTTGTTAAGGCTCTTTACCAAACCAAATAATAAAATGTATAATATATCATTAAAATCAAAGATTCGTTAGCATATTCATGCTATACAGGTCTTTTTTATTTTTATTATAATATTATTTATAAAAAAAAAAAAAAAAAAAATATGAATATTTGAAAAAAATGAATATTTGAGTTCATATTTAATATATTTTTCTTTGAGTTATAATTTTATTTTACGAGCTCTGAGCACAACATCGTCGAAATTTATTGTTGAAGCCAATGGATTCACCATAAATAAAAGAGCAAGAAAGTTTAATTGTTCTTGACTTATAGTTGATCTTTGCTATGTCTTAAGTGAATTTCCCAACTTACTGAAAAACCTTTCTGCTACTGCTACAGTCACTGGAATAATACAAAAATATTCGGAGATTAATAACACGTTTACAAAAATTGTTTGCACATTTTTCGTATGAATGGAATTTAATAGTTCAAGGTGTGACATTACAATGCTTTTTTGAAATGTTGAAGAATATATAGGTATAGTTTTTAGGTGTAACATTTCATGACATATATTGTCAGATAAATCTGATTTGTATTTTTATAAAAGTGATTTTGTTTTTATTCTAATTCTTCATTGATAATGGTAAAATGATTAATAATGACTTGAAAATGTTGCAAATATTTTTAACCTCTTAAAATCGATTTTTAAAATTGACAAAATAAGTGAATTGTGTAATAAATCACAACATTTCTAATACTATTTCAGGTTCAGTACTTTCACTTTCATCAATAAATGTTTTTTTTTATTTTTATTCATTTTTTATTTTCCGCTCAATTTGGTATTATTTAAATTTTTTTAGCTATTTGCTACGTTTCGAATAAAATTTGTGGCGAACTATATAGTATATTTTATAGATCTTTTTTAAAATCTGAAAGGAGGTTAATTTCTACAGCTATTGATATTCTTCATATTTATATAATAACATTTATATGATCAATATACGATAATATTTAATAATAAAACGAAGATATAATTATAATTATATTTAATATAAAATAAGCATTCCTATTCAAATTCCTAAAATTACAAATTTATTTCAACAGGCCCTCGGGTACCTGAAATTTCCGAGGCTCTGTACTCTAGGTGCAACTCCCCCTAGGAGGCCCTGCCCAGGATAGTTTTTTTTAAAAATATAGGCTTAGGTATTTACCCATAGCATAAGAGAAATGCGTAAATTATTTACAAAAACAAGAGAGAAGTGGCTGTATCAAAGAATGGAAGTCATAAAGTTAAATTTTATCTTATTTATTTTAACTCTCCAAGACTTGATACCATGAGGGAAAATTGTATCCACAATAAACTTTAAATACATCATGTTTCAAATTTCCCAACGGTTTTAAAAATTAATTTAAAAAAAAAACTAAAAAATTAGGAAAACGAAAAAAAAACTATTTTCTATTACTGCTTGATACAAGGCTGAAATTTAACTTAAAAATGTATATTACATATATTATAATTCTTCAATAATTTAACAATGTAATAAAATATTCTTGAAATGTTGTTTATTATACATCCTTAAACTAGTTTTTACGAAATAACTACCTACAACCAACGCTATTAAGCACGATTATAATAGCTGGTACCGAATTAGTTTCCGAGCTCCAACCCCACGTGCCGAATTAATTCCCGTCTGAAAATGGTATTTTATTAGATATAGCCGAATTGGTTCCTGTTTGAAAAAGGTATTTTATTAGGTATAGCTGAATTGGTTCCCGTTTAATTACGCACATTTTCCTTCTTAATTTTACAAGCTTAGGACTGTCAACTTTAAAGTAGGCTTAGTCAACAATATGCGTTAATGTGTGTTAAAAAAAAATGATAAAATATATATAATTTTAAATCGTTAATTTGGAAGTCAACTAGTCATCACCTAGGTGTATGAAACACAAATAATAAAATATAATAAATAAAATTTAAACCACTGTTTGCAAATTTGAAGCTAACTTTCTTTAAATATGCAATTCTCATAATCTTCTTATTAATGTATTCACTCATGCAATTTTCTAAGTATTTGTTATTTCTTTCTTTTTTGCTAGTAATTTGCTAGTCTCTAATAATCTATAGTCTTTTATATTCTTATACTCTATCTTATCGATATAATAATTGTGTCTATATATCATACATATAGTTTTAAAATTTTGTTTTTTTCTCTCCATGCACTGGCCCGCTGAATTTTAATTTTTAATAGTGTAGGTATATTGTGTAAAAAATTTAAATTGTTACTATTTTACCTGTACACAAACGGGAACCAATTCGACTATACCTAATAAATAGAGACCGGATTTATATACAATTGCATATACCTATGTATTGGAATAAGCTTTTTGAAATCTGATGAACATTGTCCCCGATTTAAATCTTTTTTATTAAAATAACACTCATTTTATTTTGCATATTTTGCATATTTCAACGTTTTTACCTATTAAATGCATATTCAACGCATATTATAATTAATAGCACATATATTCATTTTCGTCGTATTTTCACGTTCACAGCCACATAATATCAATAAAATTGCGACCAGTCGTTATTTCTAAAGATTACATAATCATTTCATCTAATGCAATAAGGTAATATATGAATTCAATTTTTGTTTTCACTTTTTATTAATGTGGGTATTTATACTTTATAGACTGAAGATAAAGAATGTTAAATGGCGACTTAGATGACAAAATACTTTAAAAGCTTTTTTATACTTTTTTTAATACCGTATTAATATTTATTTTTACATTTATAATACATTTCACATATTTGTACATCGTTTTAAACAACATTTTAAGTAAATATTTAAGTACGTATTTAAAAATAAATACATATTTTATTGCATATTACAGCATTTTTAGAAGCATATTTTGAGGATTTTTTGTGCATATAAATCCGGTCCCTACTAATAAAATACCTTTTTTAAACGAGAACCAATTCGGCCAAATGGGAACCCACTCAGTTACTCCTGATTATAATACCATAATAATATTATTATAGGTACTTTAATTTATATTTGTTTTAAAAAATAACTCATCTTATGATTTAATGCTTAATATATTTTTCAAAATTAAACCAAATAAAAATGTCTTAAAAATTAAAATTAGTCATATCTTTAGTAGTTAATCTCTTTTTTTTTTTTTTTTTATTAACATATTTAAAACAATTTATCTAAAGGAATTTATAGCTTTATTAATAAAATAAGTCATTAAATAATAATTAGACTATAAGTTTTGTAATAAATTTTGATTAATTTAAATAAATGTTTTGAAATTAATTATTTCCAAACATTCATATATACTTCAGTAGAATTTATTTCACTAAAAAAAAAAAAAAGATTTTCTTGAAATTGATGATTTATTATCACTTCAAAGTCAACTTGTGTAAGTGGCCCATTCACTTTCATATCTCACTCCAAACCTTGTTTACATTTGGCTATTTTAATTCTTCGTAGTCGACTTTTATTTAATTTTATAATGCCTGTTTAAAATCAAAGCACGGTAATAAAATATTAACAACTGGTAATTTACAAAATTGTATTATATAAAGTATATCCTTTGAGCTAATGTAATTTGTTTGTATTCTATTTTAAGCTCGCTCAGCCTTGGAAAAACATCAGCTCATATTTAATATTTCCCAAACTTTTATTGGAGTTATGATATTCCGAATAAATTAATGAAGTTATACAAATGTATAAGATTTTATTAATTGCTTAACAATAAATTTGTTCAGTTTTAAAGTAAAAGTTTTATAAAAATTATAAAACAAATTACTATATTAAGTTCCAATGTAATTTTTAATGAAAAACGCAATAAAATATTTCCGGTTCATTGGACGGATTGTAGCTGTTCAAATATATTAAATAGTGAAATAAACACATCAGTATTTATTTAACATTAAAATAGACAACGTTGTTGCAGAAGAGTAAACTCATAATCAATAAATGAGTGAAAGATTAGTTAAAGAATAAACCAACAAGGGTCGCATTAACCATTTTGGCGAATATAAGTACACTCAATTTCGATGTTTCTTATATTTCAATTCGTTTATGATATTATCTAAAAAAAAATAATCTGTCATAAGACAGATCATTCGTAAAATATACGGAATTATTATTATAATAATAATTAATATTAATAATACGGTTGATGATTTGACATTTAGTAATTTTTATATATACATAAATATATATATTGATTCGATTGACTCGATCAATTGTTATCAATGTATATACTTTATAAGCACGCCTTAAATACTGATTTTTAAGATTTTAATTCATTTAAAAATAAAATTGTCATGTTATGTTGTATTATGAAAAAATATGATAAATCATGAAATGACGATAAAATGTAATTAATTTCTGTTTGAGTGAGGTCCCAAATCCAAAATTGTTCGGGGTGACCACACTTCAACTAGTGTTGGATATAAAATATCAAGAAAAAAATGTGGACTGTATTAATTATAAAACCTCTATTATAATCAAAACGCGGGAACAACCAACGTATATAAAAACTACTAACAAATGTTACTTATGCGGCAACAACCAACATACCCGAAAAAATAACCGAACATGACAGTAATAATATAATTGCACGTACCTGTCCGTCTCAAATATTCTAGAAAATTTGAGACTATTCTCGTCAATTATCGAACCGTACCCAACAATTTCCTTGTAATACTTATATAATGTATTTAAATTTTAAAATTAATGAATTAAGGTGCTTATATTGTTTATGTTATAGGACGAAATTCAATTTGGAATTAAACCATTTGATGCAAAAACAGTTATCGTACCTCAACAAATAGTCGTACCATTTGGTCGTTCAATCCACTTACAGACAAAACATCAAAACTATGTTACGATGGGAGATGTACAAGTATGTAAATGATTAGCAAATGTTGACAAAAATATCAATCAAATCACAAAAATCTGCAATATTTTTCCATAATACTACCTCCAAATGTAATAGTTAAGGCTTGATAGTTGAATACAAGATTCTTTAAAAGTTTTTATTCATAATCATATTTAAAAAAAAAACATCTGAAAGCTGTAAATAACTTTTATAAGCATTTCAATAATAAGTTATGAAGCATTATTGATATTTCAACATAATTCATTGAATTAAACTCATATTTATACGATAATCCCGATTATACCAATAAATAAGTTAAGTATGTCCCTCTTTTTCATAACATTTTTAAATAATAAAACAAATAAATTACGTATTTTATTTTTTTATTAAAAAAAATATAAACCATTGCTAGTTGATACTTAACATCGATATCAAAGATTATATTTTTAGTGTTTTCTTACACGTATAAAAACTTCTGAGAAAATCGAAAAAAAACCCTTTCCGTGTTCGATTTCCAATATATAATGTACTTAGCATGCAACTATTGGTACCGATATACTATCTCAAAGTTTTATTACAGAAAAATAAATAAATAATATAAAACAAATATAATCTTCTCTTTTCTCAAGATCAAATATCTTTAAAAAAAAAGAACATTTTAAATACTAGTAAGCTATTTTATCTTTTGAATTTTAAAACGTGGTCTAAAATGTAGACTAAAATTTAATAAAAAAAATGTCATACTATTGATCTAAATTTTAGTAATTTTTTTAATATTAGTTTTTTTTATCAATAAAAATTCAAAATGTATATTTCATGATAAATTATATTTAATTTTATCAAAAAAACTGAAATAAGCTTGTTTTGGTAACTCCATGAAGTTTATCGATTGGATGGAGCAATTTGTTATAAAAACAAGTTTTTTAACAAACTTTGTTATAAGAAAAATAAACATGTTAATTTATATTAGCTATAGCAAGGAAAGCTGAAAAGGATGAGTTGTGGTTCTTCAAAAAGAACCCATTGACAACTCATAAATTTCACCTTCGAGATCCATATTTGTAACCAAGTATTCGGTCATATGTCACAACCGTCAGACTAAACAAAACTCACCTAATATGCTTTTGAATCACGCAAAAAAAAAAAAAAAAAAAATAAGCCAAATATGGTCGAAATTGTTTTAACACGTTATGCAACGTATTTTGCATTTTAAACACACACTATGGTTTTCCCGGAATCAACCTGCAAATACGTAAAACTGAAATCTGTAATTAGTAACGTATAATTTATTTTTATATTTATACTGCAGTACAAGTGGCTTTGTAAGACAACTAATGGTGATGATTGTTTAATGGTTGGAAACTATCCCGCATTGAAAGAAGCTATGGATGATAAGTCATTTACAACCTCTTCTGAATTAATAATCCGTGAATTGACCTTACAACCAGGAAGGTGAAGTACCTACAAGTTAAATTTGATTCAAATTATATGAAAACATTTTTTAAAAGATTTAAAAAATCTGACGTTTGCTTTGCTCGTACAGCTATTAGGTATTTGTAGTGGAATACGAAACATTAAGACAATATCGTCGTAAAACCATTTGCATACATTTTTTATATCGTCGTTATAAAAATTACAGTAATACATATTAAGAACCCAACCAGATATAAGTTTACTCTATATTTCAAATTTTGTGATAATATCCATTTTACTGATAATGTTAAGGTTAAATATGCTTTAGCTTTTCATTATTTTCTTACATAATTACACTAATAATTCACATAACTGATCTCACAATAGTAAGCATAAATGCAATTCACTTATTATATAAAATAATAAAAAATTCAATAAAAATTAAAAATTAGTAAATGGTTAATACTCGTAAATTAATGCATAAAAAAAAAAATAAATAGGTGTATGCATAGAAATAAATAAATAAATGCTTAGCCTAGAACAGTGGTTCCCAAACATTTTATAACAACGCATAATTTAATGTACGCTTAAAAACTAAAACAGTAAAATAAAATATTAAAATCAACTGAGTCTAAAGCTGCAGAAACATCAAGGAAACGCTTCGTTTTTTCGCACTAGATGCCACATTAGGCCAATGCAAGAAAACCGTAACTTCACACATTTTGAAAAATATTCACGTACCACTTGACTTAACCTTTTTTTTTTTTTTTACTTATCAAGAAATAAAATGACATTTATTAATTTACATATATGAAGCCTTTTTTATAGTTAATTGTATTAGTTTAAGGTTATAAATACACAAGCATTTAATGCATAAAAAGAAACATATCATAAAATATTTACCATTACTATTAATTATAATGAATACAAATGAATGTTTTAATACAAATCGAATACGAAAATATGAATCAGGACGTCAATACCGGTCTCCAGTTTAGTAATTTTAAGTCTTAAGTTGTCTTCTATATTAATTTTGTTCCTATGTCGTAGATATTTATAAAATAAATCAAAATAATATCGAATGGTAATTATAATAAAAATAAAACTATTTCTTTAAAAAAAAAAAAAATGCTCCGTGTACCATCTACGAGCTTTTTGCGAGCTTTCCACGTACCATTTGTAGTACGCATACCATAAGTTGGGAACCACTGGAATCATTGGTGCCTTACAAATATAATAATAGGTATTACAAACTAAGTATTTATTTATTTCTATATAAAATCAACTTGGTTGTTTAATTATATATTAATTTATTTTATTCGAGTTATCTTTATTGTAATTTAATCTACGTATAACGATTGTGGTTTAGGTATTACTTTGTGGTTCAAATATCATTATCTGGTATTCCAGTTGACTCAGCCGTATCAGTGGTAGTGGTATCTTATGAACATGGTCCACACATAATGTTTTATTGGCCCATTCAAAATTTCAACCCAAGTACACCTTTTCCACCTGGAAGCAGCTTTTTACTAGCAGCCTCTGTCTCTTATTTGACTGCTGATTGTATAACTTCTTGGACAACGTCATCAGACTCTGGCTATAATTATTTAACGTCCAAGCAAATGGTAAACAATATTATACTTGTTAGAACAATTTTTCGTTTTGTTTTCGTTACTTATAATATTAATAATAATATACATGTATAGTACTATAATATAATAATAATATAATTTCGAATTTACCGTAAATAAAATAATGAGCGTATTACATGTTATACTATTATTCTGACAATATACAAGTAGTTTGTATCTTCATATTGAACGTTAATATAGTTAATTGTTGTTATTTAAATCTGTATTAATTATACATTTAGGGTGGTAAAAATAAAGTTGTTAGAGAATTCACGCAAGGTCGAAATGAAACATTTTCACATGATGTCCGTCTCGTAGTGACGTTGCCAAATAAAACTGAACAAAATACAGATTTTTTACTGAAACTAAATGCTCACTGTGCATCTATAAAACATTCTATGTACGGGGTCGTGCCTATTTCGTTGGTCGCTCCGCCACGAATATTTAAATTCGAAGTAAACATTTTTTTTTTTTTTTAACACCACAATACGTTATATCAATTATTATTATAATGTTTTTATTTGCATCAAGACATTATCATCGTATTAATTAATTATCAGGTAACACCAACGGAAGGAATTGGTTTATTGACCAAGTTCAAATTTTATACAAATAACGCGTACGATACAAAATTAAATCATCCCATCCGGTATAGTTTTGGGTTTTATGTACCAACTCTAACATCTTTACCGATATATTTTTATTCATCAACTTTTCGATTACAAACAGAATCGATTCTTCCCTCAGGTTAGTATGAAAAGTAGTTTTTAGACAATATTATAAATACGTGTGTAGATTAATATAATATTTCTGTACTGCCAAAATATCTGTATATTTTTCCTACTACAGTCAAGCTGGGTACATCAAAAGTGAAAACAGTTTTGAAAGCATGCAATCGTTACGAAAGTTGCAGTATAACTGAAGGTCCAGAAATATATATTCATAGTCCAACCCAAGTAGTAGATGCAGATGCAGCGTAAGATTTAATAGTACTTAATTTACAAAAAAAATTTCAATTATTAATTTCAATTTTAACTGTTATCAAAATACTCGCATAGGTATTTTATTAAAAAATACAGACAGCTATTAATGAAACAAATGTTAACTGAATCGGAAGCATACAAAATTATATTTATGACAACATTGAAAATTTTTAAAACCGAACTGTATGAGAAAACTGCTCAAAAGCTATTTAATGTTATTTCTACTCACATTAATAAAGACATTTTAGAAAGGTACAACATTATATTGATTTTTTTATAATTACCATAAACAGAACAAAATATTAACATTCGAAATATATTTACAAAAATTAGTATATCCTACGGAAAAGAATACATTCCAATTGGTTTAGCATTATTGGATTCAATCACTCGAACTTTTTTTGTTCTGCCGAAGTTTAATAACATAATTATGTCACAATCTTTGATATCATTACGTGATCGAATTTATACAAAATTATTAGGTAAACAGGATTTCGATAGTTTTAATTAATATGAAATTATACTTAAAAAAATTAATGTGTTTTCATAGTGTACGACAATGATAAACTGATGTCATCGACTGAAATGAATAATATTGAATACATCATTAAGAATGTGAATTCTTATTCACCGAATATTTACTCGAGTACGAAATTCAACACCGAAATTGTATGTTTGTTTCTGAAATAATATACTATTTTTTATAAAAAAAAAAAAAAAAAAACCAGTAATTATTGTTAAATATTAGGTGAAATTATTTTTACAAATCTCAGAGATTGTGATATTAAATCAAGCGGACGAATCTGATGGGTTAAATGAGAAGAAGAAATTGATTGATAACGTTGAAAATTATGCCAAGCATGTTTGTTTGACATTAAGTGAACAACAAGAAATATACGTGGGTAAGTCAACAAACGAATCGAATCTTGAAATATTCAAAATGTATTTTAATGAAAATTATACCTATTAATTCAGTAAATATTTGAATCATTGCTGTTCAATTGTTATAGGATCATTGGTGGGGAGTTTCAGTGCACGACAAGTAAACAATGTCGATTTAATAGAAGCGTCTGTTGACATACCAACTTGTAACTCAGATTTCCACAAAAAATGCATTAAACAAAAATCCAAGGTAATTTTTATTTTTATTTTTTTAACTCTAATGTTTTGTGTTTTAAGAATTTTAGTAAACAAACGTGCTTAACACTTCTTGGGGAATATTTTATAATTGCGAATAGTAACTAATATGAAAACAGAGAAAAAATTAGATGGTCATAAATTATGATACTATACTAAGTGGTAGTTATTTTTTGACTGCGAAGTTATAGTATCAATTTTTCCCGAACGAGACGTTGTTTGTCTCGAAATGGTCAAAGTATGGTTGACCAATTTAATAACATATTTTCGTCATTATTTGTTGTTCTTCTAAAATTTTCTCAAAAAATACTAGATTTTATTTTTAAATACTCAATTTTGTAAATCAAATATAATACAGGTGCTTAAATGTATTGAATTATTTAACAATTTCATAAAATTATTTCGATTACATAAAATGTTAGTTAAAATGTATTAAACCAATACGACATACGAGTACATTTTATACACTTTCCAAAAGATTATTTCTTATAATTATATGAATATTTCCAATAATACAATAAGTAATTTTCTACAAAACTAAGTTTAAACAAATTTCAGGCGAGATATGTCATATAGTAAATTAATCCATTAATAGGTAATACCTCTTTTAACTATTTAATAAACTGTGTTTAGTGTTTTATATGTTTGTCAATAGTTAATTAATTTTAAATATTTAATTGTTAATTTGGTAGTAAATTTATAATTTTATTATTACTTTTTTATTTTATTTATTACCATAATATTTATTTTTAGATTATGATCGATAAAAACTTATTTATATCTCATAGAAACGATTTTCCATTGTGTTTTATGAGTTTCCATTTTTATGATGATTTTTTTACCCAAGTCTATGGTAATAATGGTCAATTTCTTAAAAGGTAATCAAATTTATTAGTAACTATTACGTACTTATATACGAATATTTTAGTATTTTTTTAATAAATTCCCGATTTGTATTCTCGGCTCCATCATTTAAAAATAACTATCATAAGTCTAATAATAATATATATTTTTAATAACATATAAATTAAATATATAATATACTATTAGGCATAGTGGATTGTATGGATTTCATATCATGAAGATGAATAATAAAGCAAAATCTAACTATGAAAATGTTGTTTCAAGTCCATCGAATATATTAAATATTATTGAAATCCCATTGCAATCATCAACTGATACTCAAATTGAAGTATTTATAAATAATAATAGTTCATCTCAATTATAACTACTATATGAATTGATTTTTTTTTTTTTTTTTAGTGCAGGTATTGGAATGGTATACTTGGTTGGACTAAGGAAGGATGTAAACTTCTTGGAGTAACTACTAAATATTTTTCTAAATTTGCTAATTGTGAATGTCCAGCTTTTAAATATTATGGGTAAGTTATTTTATTCGGTGTAATTCCATTCATTATGATATATAAATATATAAGTAACAATGAGTATAATATTTAAGGCGTATAATGTATAATCTATATTTTCAGAATATTTTCTTTGGACGTTACAAATATTCCATTAGATAGTTCCATATCAGATTCTAATCACAATGTCATGGTATATGATCATAATAAGATAAAGTATTTAAATAATGCTTCGAAAACTACAAGATTTCTTTCGGATGTTTATGTTGCATTTAAGTATGAGTATAATGTTAAATATAACAAATTATTAAGTAATACACAATTCATTTTCTACAAAAAAAATATGTGTTATTAACATATATTGTTTTATTATTAAGTTTTAATTTAAGTACATTAAAATATAAATTTAAAAAAAAATCATATAATTTAATGTCATCTTTAAGATTTTGATGTAAAATTAATCCTCCTTACCGGAATTATGTGGATTTTGAGTAGAGTAAATATTTATTCTTTTTTTTATACATATATATATATTTATTACATTTTTATTATTTCAACATAATCTTTATTTTTACAAATTTTTTTTTTCAATCATTTATTTATTCTTAAGTGTATCTATATCCATCTCTTCATTAAAAATGATATTCGTTATTCTATATCTATATTTATTCTCAACCAGTAAGGGTATAGTCAAGTCTGGATTAAGGATCAATAGGGCCCCAGGATACCATTCACTTAGTGGACCCCCTTTCAACTTGAACTTAAAAATAATTATATAAATACATATTAAGTACTGTATATTATTATTTATTGTATAAGTTTATACCACACAAAAAAATATATATATAAGACAGATAAATGAATATGATAATTAAGGTATTATACACAATATATATATATGAAGAGCACACATTATGGGTTACTAGACTTATAACTTAAATTTTTTTTTTTTTTTAGAAAACTGTTTTGAAATATGTTTTTGGAATAATAATGGGCCCCGGAACCATGCCACTCTTGGCCCCCCACTTAATCCGGGCTTGGTTATAGCCTAATATTAATAGAGTTGAATAGATTATTTTGTTTCTATACTTCTTTATGGAAACTTGTGACTGTATTTTAATCACTATATTCCTCGTAACAGTTGCGTATGCAATTATTTATGTCTTATAACCTCAAATTCTTTATTTTTTTGTCAATTGCTAACTGCGACATTTTATTGTTCATTAAAAAACATTAAAAATAAAAAAATACAAAATGGATTACATATCTTAAACTTAATTGCTAATATTGTTTATACTCTTATGTTAACAGAATTAATGGAAATCCTGCAGATTTTTATGACCAAAATCTTAGTGATTTAGAAAATTCTTTAAGTAGACAACTAACGGAAAAAATGCCATCACTTTCTTTGATTATGAAAGAATTAAAAATTATTATGAGTGAGTTGTTTTTTAATTTTAACTAAAAAAATTGAACGATATGTAATATAACGATTGTAACTATATTACATGCCGATATTTATAACTAAATACTGCTAACAAGTATAGTAAGTAAGTGTACATGTCATGTCAAATAATAAAAAGATCAATTGGGAAAAACAAATACCTCAGTAAGGTTTTTTTTCAATCCATCCGTTTGCAAATATCACTTAACAAAATTTTAACAAAATAATAAAAAATAACATAATAATTATTTAATAGTCAATATTCACAAATTAATATATAAATAAATATACAAATAATTAATACATATAAATAAATAAATAAATAAAAACTTAGTCTGGAGTATTATATATGTAAAGTACGACCGGTTTCGAATTAAAAATTAATCGATAGGTACACACAAAGTCAATATAATGAGTCTGTTATATATAATTTTATTTATTTATTTATATGTCACTATATTTATTTAATACACAATATTATATACAAAATCCCCATAAATTATCCCCAAAAGAAATAATCACATGGCGTGAGATCTGGTGACCTAGGAGGCCAGCTGCAAAGTGTTAAGTCATTAGTCCCATTGCGACCAATACAACGGTTAGGGAGTGTTTCGTTTAGAAAACCACGGACATCTAAATGCCAATGCGGTGGTGCTCCGTCTTGTTGATAAATGTAGTCATCAGAATTATTGTTTAATTGTGGAAATAGCCAGGTTTGAAGCATTTCTAAATAAGAACTACCATTTACTGTGTTTTCAGTAAAAAAAAAAAGGGCCATAAACTAAAGTCTTGGATATGGCACAGAACACATTAACTTTAGGTGAGTCACGCTCGTGTTCGATTATGGCATGAGGGTTGGTTGTACCCCATATACGAACGTTATGACGGTTTACTTCACCACTTAAGTGGAATGATGCTTCGTCACTGAAAACTAAGCGAGAAGCAAAATTTATTCATCCTGCATAGCCTCCTGCATAAAAATGCTAAATTCAAGTCGTTTCAACTTATCATTGGGTTTTAAAGCCTGCAACAGTTGCAACCTGTATGGTTTCATAGTTAAACGTCGTCTTAAAACACGCCAAACAGTTGTTTGTGGAATTTCTAGTTCTCGACTTGCACGGTTGGTTGACTTACACGGACTGCGTTGAAAACTCTCTCTAATTCTTTCCACATTATCATCGGATACACGAGGTCGACCTGTGCTTTTTCCTTTGCACAAACACCCTGTTTCTTCAAACTGCTTATACCATCGACGTATACTCTGAGCAGTCGGTGCATCGATACCATAATGACGACGAAAATCGCGTTGCATAGTTATTATCGATTCACACTTCGAAAATCGTAACACACAAAACGCTTTGTGCTGTACGGTCGACATATTTGCGGAAACTAACATATCGCCTTAAGCGATAATTTAAAAATAACGAATTAATGACATTGTAAAACTTGGGATTACCCTCTATTCATTTCTACATAATTTGATAAGATAAAATTTATATTTAACCATTTTATAGCTATCTTAAATTGGATGAATCATTTTGAATAACCCTGTATTATGGATTATATAATATTTTAATTCTAACTCACGATGCTAAAATTTCATGATGATTCCCAAGTCTACACTATTAAATTTAATCATATATTAAATTATCCAGCGGGAATCATTGTTTCTGACTGAAAATATCTCTAAGTGATATAACAATACTTAAACTTTTAAAAATGTTCTATCTTCTTAAAGATAACAGATATATTGGAAGAGAAAATTTAGTATTAAACATCAATCTAGGGGAAAATACGAGAAACTGGACTTAGATGGTTCGGAAAAGTTATAAAAAAAATATGGCAGAGGTATTACTAACTATGATACAAGTAAAAGTAGAAAGAAAATAAGTAACAGAAGAAAGTGAAAAAGATTTCGTAAAATGTAACTTCAAATCATATGAAAAAAGCTAGAGTACTAAGTTGGAGATTAAAATTTATGGACTACTACTCGTATTAAAAGAAAAAGCGATGAAGGACATTTTATAATTTATAATATTAAACGAAAAATTTTTTTATCAACAAAAATTTTCAATTTTATTATTTCTTATAGGTGAACCAATGTACATATCTATGCATTTAATGCAAAATTTAAATATTTCAACAGACGAATCTATACAAGATCTCGTTAAAAAACTAGCTAATGGATCATTGATTTTATATGATTTGCATAGATACAGATTATATGTACCAGAACAACCATTGCGAATTATGCAGCCACGTAACACAGGTAAAAATGTACAGAAAAACAATTATAATGAACCTTATTCATTTTTAAAGAAATAATATATTCAATAGACTAAATTGTATTGTTTTATAATTACACTAATGCAGGTTTAATAATTATTGTTTTTTTAATTTATTTAATATGTAAAGCTCACATCAAATAAGTATATATATAAGCTTCTTAAATTCATATTTGATTTTAATAGCATTAAAATATTATAAAATCATTAAGCAAATAAAATATTTTTTACCATATTATTTTTATAGAATTTGACAGCGTGGGAAAAAATATTGCGTTATTCTTCGCAATATTTGTTGCTTTTCTGGCCTGTTTTGTGTTTGGTTCGATAATACTTAAACGACATCAACTACTTACAGATATTTCAGACGTTCAAGTAAAGTAAAAATAAATGCACTACCTATGTTAATATAAAAAAATTAATTTTAATAGTAAACAAAAATAAATTATTAACTCCTCTAATCATTCAAAAAAATGTATGTTAACAATTTCAATAATTTTAATATCAATTATATGTTTACCATCAAATATTTTAATATAAATAATCATTTGGTTTTAATTTAACCCAAAAATTTAACATATTTAATGTATTCAATTGATTTAGATATGTATCGAAATTTTCAGCAAAATCTAAAAAAAGATGATTCTATAAAAAGACCAAGATACAAAAAATTAGAGTCCACTGAATTAATCGAACAAAATGCAAATTCAGAACAAAGATTTCGGCATTTTAACAGCAGTAAATTTAAATTATTAACTAATTTTTAGATTTTAATTCTACTAATATTTATCAATACATATACCAAGAAAACATTTATAAATACAATATATTACTCTATAATTTCAGATGTGGAACTTTCGGACTCTGGTATCACTTTGCATTCTGATAGAACTCAGATAAATTTATTACAACAACTTCATTAGATTATGATCAAGTTTGTTTAATTTATTTCTGAGTTTAAAGTTAATAAATATTTTTGTATTAAATAAGATAATTTGTTACGTTTATGCCTATTATATCACTCTGAAATATAATAAGAACATCGATGAACTTTTACATTCATGTAGTACTCTCATTGCTTATATATTATATTTTTAATTTCTAATTTTTATTGATTTAATAAGGCTTCAACATCTGAAGTCATTAACCAAACCTTTTTACATATTAATCTTAAAATGGTGTGGGTGAAAAATTCGGGGGAATTGTTTAAAAAACTTGTCTTAAATTAACTTTGATAAACCTGTCTGTAAAAAACTTGAAAATATTACACAAATTTTCCTTTCTAAGTGCTTGTTTCATCATGGGTGGGTTTTCTAGAATTCTTGTGGAGATGCCAAATTTACGGCATTTTAGTACGATGTATTTGATGGTAATTTATTTTTACAGATTTCACAGGTTGGAGGCTCCTTTTTGGTTATAAGAATTTTAATCCTAACCTCGAGTGGTATATCTCCAGCATTACATATAATACTTGTTGGACTTATGTGGAAGAATCCTATGATTAATCGTATTCCTTGATTGTATATTGGATTCAGTATACTAAGGGTGTTGTTTTTGGCTAAATTATAAATGACCAACTCGTGTTCTACTTTTGTTAGTGTAGTAGTATTGTATATAGTTATAAGGCTATTTTTTTTCTAACCCCAAATATGGTGGGATAAGGTTTTGATAATTTACAAACTATTGTTTGCGGTGATTTCGAGTTTTTTAAGGTGTACTTTTATAAATTATTCTGTACATGTATAACAGAATAAACATCAAACTCTTCGAAATTTATCCTTGACAATTATAAAAAAGTTATTCACATATTCATGAAAATTGTGACATGTTGAGAAAGATACATTTTAAGTAGGCTAGGTCCTAACCACAAAGTACGACAATACTAAATCTTATTATCCCTAAGTTCTACCTATAAATTACCAAGACAATAAATGCTAATTTTATCTCCAAGATAGTTGTACGATTTCCAAGCTGACGTTAGAGTAAAACGACGAAAGATTATCGGCCATAAAATGCAGTAACACTGACCGAAAGTTTGTACAGATATTGGTACCATAATCCATTTACTATAAACGGTACTTTATAAATTATAATTGTCAGGGTCGGCGCAAGAAGAGGCGAATAGAGCACATAACCAGGGTCTCGTACTTTTTAGGGTCTTAGGGCCTTACAATGAAAATATAAGTTTAAAATTTTGATAACATATTCCTATAAAAGTATATATTTTACTTATTAGTTACCTAGTTATTTGACTATGGAATTTAACTTCTCAACAGGCGTGTGTAGTATACCTATCTTTCGATGGTACACAAAAAGATCGATGAACAATTAAATACACTATTTTGAATAACTTTATTAAACATAAAACAAACACACAAATTAACGGGTCTCTATCAATCGCTTACAATCCATCCGTCTCTCATTCGAAACCCGCACTGTGTCCCTACTGTGTTGCTTACGTCCTTAAATATTATTTTACAAGGTGCTGCCTCAGCTCATTTGCTTCGTTGGCCTAATATTACGCAATTTAAACATTTAGCTAAAAGAAGTTATATTTTGTCTATTTTTATTAGTGGCACATGCCACATACAACACGTGTATACACATTTTGTGGAACAATTATAGTTATGTTGACAAAACTTTTATCTACGTAGCCCGATTTTCTTAATATATTTTTCTAATTTATTTATCTCAGATATGTCATTAATGTTTAACAATTATTTTTATAATTTTTAATGTATTTTCCAAATTATTACCGACGTTTATTTCAGTCAACTACATCCGATCGCAAAAAATATGTTTCGCACCTAGTTATGACATTATTTTTTTGATTTTCAAATAATATTTTTCTTTTTCTATTTATTCGTTTTTATTTGTTTTTTCTTCCTTATTTATTTATATAGCTGATATTAGACTTATATTACAAGAATTTTCAAACGAAGAATTAAATTAGAAAGGGACCATGATTTTAGTGTTAAAAATATTAATTAAGATAATTTTGACAGTGATTTATGAAAGAACACATGATTTCAATAATCAAAATGTTACCAATAAATATATAAGTGTTCTTAAGAAATTACTAAATTAAAACGTCGTTAATAATACACAGGATCCACTTTTAAAACTTGAAATATATCGTATATATTCAATCTTAAAAAATAAAATAAAAAATAATTTGTCATAAATGCAAGAACAATAATTTATTAAATTAGAAAATATTTTAAATGTAAATATATTAATTTTATTCACAAAATATTCGAAGAAAAATAATGTATTTCGAGTTATGATATTTTGTAATTATTAAATACCTATTAAAAATCAAATATAATAATTTAAAATATTATAAAAATAATAATACCTAAAATGTTTCCTTACACTATAAATGTTAAAAATTATTTATTTATCATATTTTATTAATACAAGTTCTTGAAATCGTATAACTCATATAACATATAAAAGCGCGCCTAATAAAAGGTTGAATATGAAAACACTAAGCTACGACTGTTATTTAAATAGTCTATATTTATTCTTGAAAAATTATTTAATATTACATCAACAAAATTTCACAAAACAAAACGAGGGACAAAATTTATATATGCCAATATTTTTACTCAACAAATATATCCTCGAAAACTCTCAAAAACTTTGCCATGGATCTCACAAAATCTAGCTCCGGTCTTCATAATTGTCATTTATTTTTTTTTTATAGATCGATTCAGATGTAATATCGATTTTAAGTATGTTATAAAAACTTTTAGTATAAAATATAACTAAATATACACTGTCGTGGCGTCTCCGATGACTCCAACGTACCTAATCCAATAATAATATTGAATAGGTAGGTCAGATTAGGTTCCCAACCTGTTTTACTTAATGGCACACTGATAATTTTAAGAATTTCCATGGCACACTGAAAGAAATAATATTGAATATACCTAATGTCATATTTATATAATATATTGTATTATATTATAATATATTGTTTTTATTAAATTATACAAGTTATTAATATATAATATATATAAATATATATCAAATTATTACATTTGAGACTGGTGTTTTTACATAATACCTCTATTCGGGGTGAAACAGTTAAAACTATACAAACCAGTGACGTCGAATACGTACTTAATGTGATGCATTTGTACCACCTAAAATTGAGAGGTGGTTTTAGGTCTGTATAATTTTGAAAAACTGGTACTTAATAGCCAGTTTTTATTAGGTAGTAGATTCTCTACTTAATATAAACATAATAATATTTTGATCATTGATGGTCAAATAATATCTAGGTAGGGATGGTTGGGTGGTTAAAATACGTGTTTGCACCATCTATTAAAAATAGTTCAATGCTACTGATACAAATTAGTAAGGAACAATCAATATTACCATTCCACGTAAATCCAAAACATAAATAATTATCAACATATTTACGTTTGACTTTTAAATTTAAACTTTTATCACTTATTGAAGCTAATTGTTTAATATTAATTTCAATAATTAAATTTCTTTCATTTGCAATAACATCACTGTCATCCGTTAATTTACGACTTTTTAAAAATCTATAAATTTTTAAATTAAACTTAAAATTATACGGCACACCTGAATAATTTCGCAACACAACGGTTAGGAATCCCTAAGATAGGTGATACCTACGTATTATTAAAATAATATTTACGAAGTATAATATTGAATTTGAAATAGTACAAAACGAAAAATAAAGTTATTAGTTTATATTATAGTAATAAAAACGCTATCTACCGTATAAATTATAAGTTATAAAGGGGTGTTTTCATCGCATACCCACTAACGTAAGTCATTAATAATTTTGCGAATGCACAATATCATATATAAACAATCAATATCATAATAAGACGAATATAATGTTAGTTATCACATAAGCAAATTACACTATTTCTACCATTATGCTGATGACATAGATGACATAAATTTAATGAACCCCTGAGCATGCATATTTTTATCAAGGATAAGCTATAAGTGGATATAGAAAAGTTACAATTAAAGCAACGGTACAAAAAAGCAAACACAACAGTAATTTTTTTTTTTTTATTAATGGGTAAAAATGTATAATAATTAAAACAATAGTAAAATAATATTAGAATTCGCAATGTTGTTTCATATAATATTAAGTAGGTATCATTTTAACATTTTAACCTCGTTAGAAATACATATACTAGTCAAGTAGACCGGTCTTATTGAAATTAATATTCTTTAAACTTAAATATTCTAAAAACCCATATTTACAAAAAAAAACTTGGATTATATATCTACAGCAAAAACTTTATAGATCACAATCTATACCTACCTATACAAAGTACAAATGAAAAAGAACAAGAAAAAAATATAAATCGAATAAATAATGTTATAAAAATCAAACCACTTTCCTCTGAAAATAATTTTACTAAATTTAGTATGTTAATTTCTAACGAAACTTAATATAATAAATGTATTGATACTTTAAAATTATAAATGAGTAATAAAACATTTTCTTAAAAGCCGTAGTGTTGTTTTAAATTTAGTGTAGACCGTGTGGCCTAATGGATAAGGCGTCGGACTTCGGATCCGAAGATTGCAGGTTCGAGTCCTGTCACGGTCGCAATAAATTTATGTTTTTTTTTTATTTATTTAACATTTACACTTTTTTATTTGCATTCATTATTTTCCTTACTCTCTCAAACAGGATGTATTTAAATTGTGTAACAAAATCAAATAAGTTTTTTTATAAAATATACAAAACATCCAATTTAAAAAAATATATATTTTTCTATTTTGTAACTGTTAATATGATTTTAAATTATAATATTCATTGTAAGCACGATATAACGTAAAACGTTTTAAGTAATATAATATTGACTGTTCAATTATTGAAATGGTTAAAATAACATTTCAACAAAATATTCATATACCGAATTTAATGATAAAAATTAATTAATATATTATGTACCATTACTTATTTCCGTGTGTGTAAAAAGTGCCTGTGCAATGACGATAACAACAATTTAAAGATTAATATAATAATTATTAATAATATAATTATTTATTACAATAAACAATTTTTTTCGACCGTGACAGGACTCGAACCTGCAATCTTCGGATTCGAAGTCCGACGCCTTATCCATTAGGCCACACGGTCTCTGCTGAAGGGTTTGATATATTAAATATTTAACAATACCTAGGGTGCGCAACAAAAGTAGTTTTGAAATGTTAAAAAAATTCATTTTCTCACCGACTATCAAACGATTCAGAACGTTTTTGGCCGAACGTTAAACAAATATTCTTGGAAAAAAGTCATACGTAAAAATAAATATGTTTAAAAAATGTAGAATTATAAAAATATGTAATAAATACGTTATACAAATGATTTGCCTATAAATTAGCTATAGCA